AGCCTTGCTAGTATCAGCAACCAAGCTATAACTCGTCAAATAGACAAGTGAAGCCAATCCCTTGACCAACTTTCTGTCGAGACGGTTATGCTATCCCTTCTCATTTTAATCCAGACGTCTCCTTTTTGCTTGCCTCATTGCATCCCGGTTTTCTCCCAGCTTGATTGAGCAATAGGCAATCATGTCACTAATTCATTCCTCTTCCAGTTTCCCGCTCATTGCATTTTGTCCCCACTAAGATGACAATGACCTCCTTAATCTTCCGTTTCTCTGTGCTTTCACTGCATGAGTTTCTTCTTTCGGTTGCCTTCCAATTGAGCTCGTGTCCAGTCTCTGCGACGTGTTCCGTTCGCGACATCAAATTTTTCAGTATCCATTTTCCTGCGGATTCCCCGATTCGTATGCCGATCTTTCTACAAGTTTCGCCAATGCATTTCTGTTCGCAGAAGCCGCATGCTCGGCAGTAAACTCGTGAGTAATCCAATTTATCTGCCCTCTCAGGCTGCGTAGGTAGACTTGTGAAGAAAATTGCTTCTTCCTTCGTGGTCACCTCAGCATTCCACTTTCTTACAATTGGCCGTAGTTTTTGAGCCGGTTCACAGGAACGGAGACATATCCACTTTTGTGAGTCTTTCGCCATCTTTATCTTTCTTTCATCATCTCCGTCCCACCATCGGCTCCTCACGGCCAGTGCGTTTCTTTGAATTACTTCTCTCAGATATCCATCACAGAGGGAATCCGAGTCAATTTTTCCAATTCTTCATCCCACATTTCCACGTCCGTTAATCGTAGGCTTCTGATGATCATGCTCCTCAGCATGCCTATCTTCATTCTGTAGTTGTGATGATATTCAAATTCAGTATTATTCCGGCATAAGACTTCTTCCAGAACAATTTTATCTTGAGTTTCTCAGTAGAGCGAATTATCTCCACATCTAGGAAGGCCAAACACCCCTCTTCCTTTGCATCCATTGTGAATTTGATTTTTCAGTAACCCCATTCATAAACTTCAGGAAATCCTCCAAATTTCCTCTTCCATGCGACCATATTGCGAAGTAGTCATCCAGGTACCGCATAAGAACTCTTAGTTGCATCGGTGACACCTTGAAATTCTCTTCTATTTAGTCCATATATACATTTGCCAATAGAGGTGAGAGATGTGATCCCATAGGAAGTCCAAATGTCTGTTCATACATATTGCCATTGTATGTGGAGTAGGTAGCACTTATTGTCAAGTTGATTAATCGTATTGACGACTCACTTCTGATACTCTCTGTTTTTGGGATATCATCTTCTCGATCCGAAATTTCTAACAGGGCCGTCAGCACCTTTTCTCCAGAAATATTTGTAAACACAGATTGTACATCAAAACTTACCAATAATTTTGTTTCTTCCAGTGTCATGTTTTTGATCCTCTGATAAAATTCATATGAGTGCTTAACTGTGTTTGACAATCTGTAGTTTGCCTTCTTAAGTTTCAGGCATATGAACTTAGCTAGTTTGTGTGTTGCTCCAAACTTGTTGTTGACTATCAGCTTTAGTGGTTCTCCTTCTTTGTGAAGCTTCGGTAACCCGTACGCTGTTGGTGATCGTGCATCCTCTTTTAGTAGTGAATTTATTGTACATTCGTTGATCCTCCTGTTCCTGTGCATATCTTTCAGCATGTCCCGTAAAGTTTCATTGATCTTCATAGTTGGGTCCTTCTTTAGTACACGATACGTAGTCCTGTCTTGTAGTATACATTCCATTTTCTCTGTATATTGTTTACTGTACCTTACAATTGCAGCTGGAAGAGCCAATTCTACATTCCTCTCTAGGGTTCTTCGTATCCTCGCCATTCTGTTCTTGTGCATTGGTGCATAATGTGTCAAGATTATAGGGATTATTTCCATCTCCATTTCCCGTTTTGTCTCTCGATGAACTCCACCAGAATGTCCTCTAGAATATTTCTGCCATTTTAAAGAAACGTCTAGCCCTTTGTTTAGGATCGT